TCATGCTGAACAACAATATTTAATGTATCTGCATTACTGTAAGGGTAGGTTTAGGGTTGGGGTAGGTGTAGACTTTAATAAAACACAATCTAATAGGTAGAAAAAAATATTTATTGTTGGTTTCCTGTAGCTGTATCCCTTCTATCTACAACTGCGAATATAACACATAATTACTGTATTTGCATTACTGTAAGGGTAGGTTTAGGGTTGGAGTAGGTGTAGACGTTAATAAACCATAATTTTACAGGTAGCATTTTTCGTTGTCGAATTGTAATACCCACTGTTTTAATGGGAGGTAGCAAAATCTGACAGGGTATTATAAATCGACAGAACACCGGGAAAAACGGGAGGATTGACAGGCATGAATAACATCTCCAGACTACAGCAATATTAATATGAAAAATAATATTTTGGAGGAACATGGAGAATACATGGAGCAGAGTTTAGCTCCAACCAGCTCCAAATCACACCTGCTTGTGATCCTGAAGAGCTGGATTAGCTGGATCAGGGGTGTTTGATTAGGGTTGGAGCTAAACTGTGCAGAGCTGTGGCCCTCCAGGAATTGAGTGTGAGACCACTGGTCTAGATCAACACTGCTCTGAAGAGCCACCGCTGGGCGTTTTCTAGAGAGAGCCTTTCTCTACATCTTGTCATCAGTGGCCACTGCCTCAGAATATTTAAGAAAGCTTAATCAGAAAATAAAACATGTAAATAGCCTCATACACTTATTACATAATCCATCTGTATAGTATGTTCATAGTACACCTATCTGTATATCATGCTGATAGTATTTAAAAATCTGTAAATTATGTCCATAGTACTGCCTTATCTGTATATTTATTGTACATTTGTAACATATTGGAGACACTGTATATCCTGTACTTACTGCTTATTGCACTTCTGGTTAGATGCTAACTGCATTTCATTGCCTTGTACCTTACATGTGCAATGACAATAAAGTTTAATCTAATCTAATCTAATATAATCTAATCTAATCCGGTTAGGACACGGTGAAAGACCAGGTAAAGAAAATGTAAGGAATGAATTGAAGATTTGAGACATCCATTTCTTTGCATTGATGCAACATTTAATGTCATGACTTTAATTTAAATTGAATTTAAATTTAAGACTTTCTGATCTGATTTAAAACCTTCTAAGGCATTAATATGTGGAAGGATGAATTAAGACTTCATTTAATACCTGCAGAAACCCTGATTTTGGATGTATTATATGTTGATTATGTTTTTAAAAAGACGTGGCCGTTGCAGTGTCTGTAGAAATTTCACATGCTCAGAGTCTGGTGTGACTGTGGCGTGACTCTAAACCCGCATTCACTAGTCCACATGTGCAGCGGGAATCAGACGTCAGACGTGTGCATCACCTGGTGGGCTGCGTGACGAGTGCGTCGCTGCCGAGTCTGAAGCTGCTGTAGCTGTTGAAGGTCCCCGGCTCCATGGACACACCGCTCACACTGCTGTACATATGCTCCACCAGCCCGAACGTCTCCATCATCCTGAACCCTGACACACAGCAGCAGCACAGAAAATACTTCTCATGATCAGTCAACCACAGCAATCACCTCTTCAGCAGCATCCAGTCATATGGAGATGATGCCACATAAACATCAACCCATTATTAAGTGCATTACAGTGGCCACAACACCCACACAATTTGAACTCTGGGTAAAATGCAGCACTCATCACTGTTTACCCCGGCGTCCAATCACAGTGGAGGGGCGGGAAAAATATCACCCAAAAACGGGAGGATTGACAGGCATGAATAACATCTCCAGACTACAGCAATATTAATATGAAAAATAATATTTTGGAGGAACATGGAGAATACATGGAGCAGAGTTTAGCTTCAACCAGCTCCAAATCACACCTGCTTGTGATCCTGAAGAGCTGGATTAGCTGGATCAGGGGTGTTTGATTAGGGTTGGAGCTAAACTGTGCAGAGCTGTGGCCCTCCAGGAATTGAGTGTGAGACCACTGGTCTAGATCAACACTGCTCTGAAGAGCCACCGCTGGGCGTTTTCTAGAGAGAGCCTTTCTCTACATCTTGTCATCAGTGGCCACTGCCTCAGAATATTTAAGAAAGCTTAATCAGAAAATAAAACATGTAAATAGCCTCACAGAGACTGTGTGTGTTTGTACGGTTTACCTGGTAAAGTGCTGCCGCTCATGGGTACTGATGGACACGCTACAGACAACAAGATAGAAACACGTCAACAAACATACACTTATCACACACACACTCACACTTATCACACACACTCTCTCTCACACACACTATTACTAATTATCACTTATCACTGGGGTTGCAAAAAGGTGGAAAATTTCCAGGATTTTTGGGGAATATTCCAGGGATTTTTGGAAAGTTTGTGGAAATTGACCGGAAATTTTCCACCCCTTTGCAACCCTAATTATTACATAGTTATACGTATTACTATTTATTGCTTAATTTTAAAAGCAATGTTTTATAAATTTTATAATTCACTCTCTCTCTCTCATACACACACACACACACACACACACTCGTCTCTTAATATCAACTTATTGTTTATTAAACTGTTGTATAAAATCAATATCACATTTGTAATCATGCTGACTTTTGGAGAAAAAAACGGCACTCTTAGTGTGATATTAACTATATGAAATGATATAAATATATAAATTTTCTGCCCCATATCTTGAATTATGTGATCATTTTAAATGCATTTTATTAGACTGATTCATGCAGTGAAAGAACGCACTCTAAATGCGTATGCGCACTAGTTTAACCTATGTTAACTTACTAGACTTCATCATCTAATGTATTCGTGCACTCTGGAAGTGTGTTTTGCAATCACAGTGGAGGGGCGGGAAAAATATCCCCCGCCGTCACATTCTACTTGTACGACTGAATGATAATAATGCAGAAGGGGCAAATATGGCTGGTCTCCAAATATCCATGCCTAATAACCATACCTGTCAACATTTGGGTACCAAAATACGGGAAAGAAGGGTGGGGGGTGGGGGCGCGCACTCTGTAGGCGTTTTGTTTGCTTTTCGCGATATACTCGATAATATCAAATCGCACATCGTTAAAACAACAATTACTATATTATCGCAGACCATACATATCGCACACCCCTACTGTTTAGATTTTTTAATGCATTGTCTTCTTATCGATCCACCAGTTCACATTTAAAGCTCTGCGTGTTTGCAGGGTAAAAACATGGGTCTATTTTTGCATTTGTCTGAACTCTGAACAAAACAACAGTTTTATTGAACAACAGTTTTATTGACTTTGAAACGTGCAGCGCTCATGTTTATTTAATGAAATCATAGCTTTTTGAAGTTTAACCATCACAGCAAGCCATATCACAATTCTGGTCTTTCCGTCCCAAAATGTAAGACCTCTTGAAATCATAATTAAGACTTTCTTGTACAATTTAAGACTTTTTAAGGCCTTAAATTTGATACAACTAAATTTAAGACT